AAGAAATTTAAGTTCAGAAAGTTCTATCAATTTTTCCTTAAATTCATTGATTTGTCTAAAAAAAAATGCTGTATTTTATTTTTTTAACAAATTAATCAAAGGTGAAGAAAACTGTACATTCCTAAATATTATAAAATTTAGTAACTGATATTTGTTTTCTTTTAAAACTGCAGGTTCAATTATAATGTAAGAAATAAAATTCATTGGAGACGAAAGCAAATTGAAAATGAGAGGGGGGGGGCAAAATGAAACAGATAAAAAACATTTTCAAACCTACAAAAAAAAAACTTGATAAGCAAAGAAGGGGGAAGGGGGGGGGGCGAAAATCCTATGTCGTGGGTGGGGGGGGGGATCAAACTTCTTTTGATACCATACTTGTTTTCAAAACACTATCACTTACCCTTTTTTGACCTGTACGCACTGCATGTAACTTTTGAAAGTCGGGGGGGGGGGGGGGGGGGGGCTCCCCCACGGTTCCGACACCTACGAAATGAGCACACAATTTGTATATTGTCTTCCTATTTTGTTTAAATTTAAAAATAACATTTCGTGTTTACTCTATGTAAATCTTAATATCAACTTAAATATTTTTTTTTAAATCATAATTTGTGGAAAGTCAATATGTTATATACATCTTTGTTTTATGCATTCATCACAGGTATTTGTGGACAGGAACCCCCCCCCCCCCCCCTTATTCAATCCCGGGGCTTATTAGAATTTTTTTTCAAAAATTATATTCATAACTCTTATTCATCATGTGTACAAAATGAAAAAATCGCCAAAAACCCAAAACAATCGTTCCACAAAAAAAAAAAAAAATACCCCACTATACATTATAAGAGAGATTCTCCCTTATAATGTATAGTGGGGTATTTTTTTGTGGAGCGATTGTTTTAGGGTTTTGACGATTTTTTCATATTGTACACATGATAAATAAGAGTAATAAATATAATTTTTGAAAAAAAAATGTCCAATAAGCCCCGGGATTGAATATCGGAGGGGGAGGGTCCTGTCCACAAGTACCTGTGACATTCATCATATAGCGAGCCGAAATCATCTTGCTTTTGAATATATATAATTAATGTTATATAAAGTATTCAGTATAGTTTGGTTCTTAGTAGATAGTTTTTTTATGTGCTAACAAATGCTTTAAGATAAATGTGTTAATTCAGATTTTAAGAATTTATTTTCTTGCAATAAATAAAAGAGGGGCCCTATTGTTTGAGAAAATTAGACATAAAATAACCCAATTTTATTCCTCCATTATGCAAATGTGATGGATTTCCTCTACTGTCTTCAAAATATAAAATTTAAAAAACATGCTAAAAAATTTACAAATCTTTACATATTTGGAACAAATGACTTGTAGATGAAATGGTAATGGTCAAAATGGGAATCCCTGATATATATTTTATTCATTACTTCCTGCAAAATGCTTTTTAAAACAATATCTGCACAGTATTCATCATCTATAATTCAAGAAGAAAATAGACATTCACGTTCTGGTATTATTCGTAATATGGTCGGTATTTGTCATTAACAAAAATGAACTCATTGTACATTGCAGGGTTTTTAAAATAGAAGGCTTATTGATAGCTTAACCACAGTCATTTTCTTGGAACTCGAATATCAATATTTTAGTACGATATATCAGAAGCATATGGATTGTTAATTCATAGTTATCCTTCAGTTACAACTCGAGAGTTTATAGCTTTTAAAGCGGACAGAATGACAGAAATCCTGCTTCTTGCCGTTTTGCTCACAGGGTTCCAGTCCTTTCGTGTGTTTTTTTTTTAAATCTATGCATTTTCCCATAAAAATTAAAGTTCACAACTGAAACATATTTCGCTGCAAGAAAAGAACATTCTTTTTTTAACGTTAAAATTCTTGTTCCTTTTAACCTCAAAATCCTGTTTCTTTTTACGTCAAAATTCTTGTTTCTTTTACGTCAAAATTCTTGTTTCTTTTTCCGTCTGAATTCTCTTTCTTGTAAAAAAAAAAATGGAAATAATTGCACGTTAAATTTTGCTGTTACAATGCATGTGAAGATCATGTACAGAGAGCATTATTCAGTTGCAGGACATTGACGTGTTATTTTGGGGATTTATGTGCCGAATGTCACCTGACTTTAGGATTCACCACTTGACAAATCAGGCAAAAATAGCACACTCAATAACGAACTATGGACATGTCTTTCTAGTACTCATAAATTCAGATTCCTCCATTGACCAGATTTGGGTTAGATTTGCATATGTTCATGGACTGATGATCGGATCACATATGTTATTGTTATACATGTACATGAAATTAGATCCTAGATCTATTACATGCGCATACTTATGCATACATGCGAGACAGACAGACATGCTACATGTATGTACAATTTAATTAAAATCAGGTTTCTTAAATCCGCGCCGTATTCACTCTTCTTACGCAGAGTGAATACGGCGCGGATCTAAGAAGCCTGATTTTAATTAGATTGATGCTATATACTGCTCACTTCAACAACACACACACACCACATCCCACATAACCCCATCCCACCTGTGATTGACAATGACTGAGTGTAAATAAACGATTTTCTCTTTTATTAAAATGAGTTAAATTCTAATATTATAATATTTACTCTCAACAAAACACCGGGGATACCAATCAAAAGTCATCGGTAACGATTAAGTTTTTGCTGACAAAATTCTCAGACGAACAAACAGACGGATAGACAGGGCAACAATATATGCATTCCCAAATCATAGAATCAGAATTAATTAAGTATATATACCTGTAATAAAACAGGCTTCCAGAGTATTTTGGTCACTCTTTATTTATGGATATTTATATTAATGCAAACTTTGTGGTTAATGATCATCGGTCAGAATCAGACAGACATACGGATTATGGTTTGTTACTTGTCCTGTCGTCATTGTTTTCTGTATAAATACCCAATGGAGACTTGCACAGACGGATTATTGAACGGAAGACGTGTTATTTTATGCACCGTTATCGAAGATTTGGAAGCATATAGTTTTTGGACTGTCCGTATTTATATTTGTTAATCTGCTTGTCCACAAAAAATTTAATCCTGACCATCGAATGATTGGTACAAGTTCCTTCAGATTTCACATATTGCAAGACCTTATTAATTTTTTATACCAACATATTTGACCTATTAACCTTGAGCTTGAACGAGTATTGATTAATCTTTGATAGACATAAAAAAATATATTGTAACGCAATATACGTGTACGAAAATTCTTAATTTTGAGATAAGAAGTATTAATACCAATTCTACGTAAATATCAAAATGACGTGGCCACGCGATGTCTTCGATTCAGCTAATTTTTTTCTTACTGAAACTTCAATGAATGAAAAGATTGACTATATGAAAGAAAGCATGGTAGTTTATCCGGTTGCCATGGAAACGGGACTAGAAGGTGTAAATTATAGTGGATTTTGCTATTTATCAATAATATCAAAAAAATATTTACTAGACAAAGCTGTTTATGTTCATATTTTTTTATATCCTTCATGACAATCAAAACTATGTAAAAAATAGCCAAGGTCACAAAAATTTTACAATTTCTAATTTTCTGATGCCCAAAAAGTGAATAATTAGTCCTCGTTACCTCCCTTGTTAGACTTAATATTTAAAGACTTTGACAAGTGATGTGAAAATTCTAGTAGGGAGATTTAGATTCAAGAAATGCTATTTTGCAAATATCATTTAAAACATTTATGGGTAAATGAAAAATAAACGTTTTATTACACTTTAAAGTTGGTCTAAATGTGCTTTTTCTCTATCCGAGTTATTTCCCTTGTTGGAGCTCTTCGGCATTGAAGAATACAAAATGTGTAAATTGTAAACAAGATGGCAGACAATGAAATCTGCAGTTTTTCTTCTTGTTTTGAAACATCTTGTTCAGGAAAATTCTACCTCAAGAGACTCAGAATTTGATGAAAAACAGTTGACATAGTTGGGATAATCTTTAAGAAAAGCCAAAGGGTTGATCTGGACATGATGAGTATTACACGTATAGCTACTCGTAGAAAAGAAAATATGAGGAAATCAGGGTGGTATGGGGGCGAAGGCCGAGAGGATTTTAGCTGTTCCCTTCAAGATGTCCTTGAAATAGAGATTGAGAGATAAATGCAGTGGTGGTAGTCCCTGACCGATCCCAATTACAATGTGTAAGTATTTTTTTATTCATAATTCTATTCAGGTATCACATGTACCTGTGTGTACCTGCATGGTAACTGATACTCGAGATTCCTCTGACTCTAACCCCCGCTTTTATATTGTGACTTGTGCGCACAAGCTACAATATAAAAGCAGGGGTTAGAGTCAGAGGAATCTCGGATTAGGTAACTGACTGTATAATGAAATATAAGACAAAAAAACAAACAAAACCATGAAAACTTGGATGCACAGTTGCACATATTACATGTACTTGACATTGAATCAAATACTACTGTGCAATATATGTTTTGGGTACTGGTATTTTATTTTCTATAAAATTCAGTATATTTGAAGAAAATTGTTTGTATGAATTTATTTTTCCAAATTATAATATGCTTATGTCCAATCTATTTTTACAAACACGATTTATAGAAATCATACCTCGGAAATATTAAACCTTTGACTTCTGACAATGATAACTGAATAGTGTGTTAGATTTTTTGAAATTTTATGCAATATCAGGACTGTAGAATATTTTAAATAATTGATTAAAAAAGTGTAAGTGTAAAATTATGAAAGTACACACAGATTTACAAATGCTAATAGTGTTCTCTAAGATCTAAGTACATATACTTTGTCATACTATTGTGAAATCATTTTTAGGACCTTGATACAATGAATTTATTTGCTCTGCAAGGTGATGTATTGTAAAGTAGGAAAAGAAATCTATCTAAGGGTGTTAGAATATGGCAACTCCATTTGTACTTTCCAAGATGCAGCTTTCTGTCTCATAATTTTATTTTACTGATCACTGTTTTTCAGCTATATATTGCAGGCATATCAATCTTGCACACATTTTAAATATGAATAGTTTTAGTTTGACAATATTGATCTGTACAGATGAGATCAGTCTGATGCTGTGTACTTTACATGTCAAGGACATATTGTACAAATTAAAAATAGTCGCATTAAAGAACAAAATAAATTATACCACATTACGTTAGTATCCATAAAACATGTATGTTTTTATTACAATTAATTTATGATTATATTAATACAATTTATTTTCCACTTTAGAAATTATTTTTTGTCAAATTCATTTCTACTCTTAGTCTCTACATATCTGGTGATTTGTCCAAACTGCAGAAAAGCTTTATATGTAAATTGAAAAAAAAATGCTTGATGACAACATTAAATCCACTCCTTTATCAATGATTCCTCTTGATTCAGAAAACTTTCAGGATAACATGTAAATATAAGGTACATGTAATATATATATGATGTTCAGGATTTTAACCCAAACTTTCAAATTAAAAAAATAATTTTAAATTGATCATTGCAGCCCTTGCAAGATTTTCCTAATGAAGATTCTCAGGATTACAGATCCTCTAGCAAGGAGACCACACAGGTACATGTAGTGTGTATTAAGTTGCATGGATTCATGGTGACTTAATTAAGACATGATTGCCACAACAATGCATAAAGGGAGATAATAATGTTTATAGGTTGAAAATGTATATGTTTTATAACAAAATTTTAAGATTCCAGTTTTAAGTTTTTGAAACAATTTTTAAATGATTTTTTATCCACAGTGACCAAAAATTAATGTTATTTTTTTTTAATTTTCATGTGAACAGATAGAGATGACCAGAGCAGAGGATATACAGCCCCCCCCCCCCCAAAAAAAAAAAAAATTCACACTGGACTGGAAGTAAATATTACATGAAAAATACAAAGTAGGAAAAATAACAGAAAGAAAAGAGGATCCAGTAAAAGTTGTCACTGGTGCAATATGGACATAGAGAGGGTTTTCTAATGATCATTACTAAAATCCACAGCAAATTAATACTGCAAGGCTGAGCTACTTTTCAAACTTACATAAAAGGACATAAAGAAATGTGAATTTGAGGAAACCAAGCTTACATCAAATGAGAGAATATGAAGGAACAAATTTTAGCAAAATCTTTTTTTAAGCAGGGCATCTGTTTTCCTTAGAGAATATGTGTATTCTAAATTGATTTCTCGTATTTTCAAAAAATGTCACTGTTTAAGTGAAGCATACCTTCCAATTTATGTCTTGTTTATTTTTTTCTATAAAAGCAGTTTTATGCAAAGCAGTTTCTTCCCTTTTTATATCCCCTCTCTGCAGGAGAGGTGGTATACTGATTTATTATATACCCCCACATGGGCTCACAAATTTAGAGTTTTATATTGGCAGGCTTCACACAGTATGTTATGTATGATTAGAATATATATGAATACATTTTAACAAAACTGAGAACAAGATTAATTGTGAAATACTGATTCCCCCATACATTGCAGCTTATGTCAAGACTCCCACGAGGTATCCCAAGAAAGGTCTTGCCACAAGTAAAACACCTGTGAAATATGAAAATCTAGTCCAACTTCAAAAGTTGTGGTTAAGGTTAAAGTTTTTTTAAGTGGGTCAATGTCTAAGGTCAAGGTCAAATTGTTAAAAATATTTATACCCATTAAAAGAACAAAGTATACATGTAACTGATCATCTGAATATGCTGATAAGCAATGTGGTAATAAAAATTAAGTCCACAATATTTAGCATATAAGGTCATTTATACAAGTTTGGCTGCCTTCCCCCAACAGACTAACTAAAATTCAAAACTTTTTTTACATTGCAAGACAGGATGTTTTTTTTTTATCCATCTTATCTTGTCAACAAATATTATGAAATTTTCTGGGAAAAAGATTTTACAACCTACCTAACGAGGCGACTAAATAATTTTACCCTGAGCTGGGAGACTAGGGCAAACAAACATTATAATCAAGATGGTCTTGCCAACTTGTTTTGACATAATATTGTCTGACCTACTTTCATATTTTCATAAAATACTTTCATATCATTTATTAAATATGAGTTTGCCTTTTTACTCTATTATACATTTTAAAAAATTAACCATAAAACAATTGTTTTGAATTTGAACATATTTTAGTGAATAAATCAAAAGGATTGGACACAAATACAGGCCATTAAAAGATTTGTAAGAATTTTTGGAAACTCACTTGCTTTATTTCATATCAAAAGGATTGGACACAATTACAGGCCATTAAAAGATTTGTAAGAATTTTTGGAAACTCACTTGCTTTATTTCATATTTAGATTAAAATAACTAGAAGCCTGATTTGTTTCCATGGCAACATTTTAATTTACCTGTCACTGAGTTAATTTCAGAAGTTCTATTTAATTATTCAAAAGAAATTTATATTAAATACTTGACATATATTCATACTACATAACAATTTGTTCAGTTTGGTAAAACATGTTCTTAGTTGATCTTCTCTGTCATTTGTGATTAATGGAGGAGGGGGGGGGGTCATTCATGCAATAATTTCTAGAAAGCTGTACATTTACCAATTAATTTATTAATTTTTTTTTATTCTCACAAAACATTAGAATATAAAGTTTATTTAATGATACATGTTTACAAATATATCGGTTGTCAAAATGGTGAAAAATTTCATTGAATATATATGACTAAAAAAGTCACTTTTGGCAAATTTCCAATTTTCATGCAATAATTTCTTGAAAGTTTTTGATTTACCCTTTAATTTTTTTTATTCTCAGAAAACCTTAGAATATATAGTTTATTTAATGATACATGGTTACAAATATATCAGTTGTCAAAATGGTGAAAAATTTCATTGAATATGGCTAAAAAAGTCAATTTTGGCAAATTTCCAATTTTCATGCAATAATTTCTAGAAAGTTTTTGATTTACCCATTATTTTTTTTTATTTCATAAAACCTTAGAATATATAGTTTATTTAGTGATACATGGTTACAAATATATCAGTTGTCAAAATGGTGAAAAATTTCATTGAATATGACTAAAAAGTCAATTTTGGCAAATTGCCAATTTTCATGCAGTAATTTCTAGAAAGTTTTTGATTTACCCATTAATTTTTTTTATTCTCATAAAACCTTAGAATATATAGTTTATTTCATGATACATGGTTACAAATATATCAGTTGTCAAAATGGTGAAAAATTTCATTGAATATGACTAAAAAATACAAATTTGGCAAATTGCCAATTTGCTAACAACCTTAATGCTGCAATGAAAATTCGCTTAATCTTCATTCAAATATCTTTGAATGAAATTAATTTTCAGATTTAAGTAATATGAGCTCACATAATATAATTTTCATGTGAATTTTTACTAATTAATTGAATGTGCACAAATTTAATTTAAAACATGGCAAAATTTGCTTTATCAGAGGGTTCTAAATATAGCATCCCTGTTACCATGGCAACCAAATTGAAAAGTTAGACTTTAACATCATATTTATTAAAGACATACCAATTGTAGTAAATGGTGTGAATTTCAGCTAAATCGGAGATATGTCATGTCCACATCCCTATTTAAAATTTTGATTTTTATAGAGAATTGATATTAATATGCGTGCAAATAAAAATCAAATGGCTCACAAGTCACATAGGAGTTCATTCCTTTCACATATTTTTCGCTAACCCAAATTAGTTGCTCGATAAAAAATTATCACTATACGTAGCTTTATTAATCGAGTCCTCCCACATACACGTAAGTGCTGGATTGTTTATTGAGATTTGTATGAAAGAGAACAGTCACATGTTAATTTTAAAATGTAAATAAAATATTTCATTCAGTTTTTTTTAATTTAAGATATCAAAGCATTAATTGAGAAGAAAATTTAAGGATTTTTTTGCGCATACTGAAACTAGTCGTTCGATAAAAAATTATCAATATGTAACTTTATCAAAAGAGTCCTTCGACATACACGTAAGTGCTGGAGTATTTATTGAGATTTGTATGAAAGATAACAGTCACATATCAATTAAATGGTAAAAAACTATTTCATCTAGTTTTTTTTATTATTATTAATAATAAAAGATATTGAAAGCAATTATTGAATAAGAAAATAAAGGGATTTTTTTTTGCGCATATTTAACTAGTCATTTGATAATAAAATTATCAATGCATATAACTTTGTCAAAAGAGTCCTTCGAAATAATTCCTTGATTTGCATGAAAGAGATATAGTCATATATTAGTTAAATTTGAATGAAATATATCATTACACTTTTCTTAATTTCCTTTCAATAGCAGCAGAGTGCATTATGGTACAGGTATTCTTGTATTTCAACAAGGACAAACATTTTACAACTCAATGCTTTAAAAATATTCCCCTCCATCCACCCTCTGAAAGTTACCCTTTATATACAATTTTCTCTTGCAGCTGATTCAAAGTGGCAAAATTTGCATAATATAAGTTTCTTACAAAGTTCTATAATCAAATTATGCCCCTTTGAACAACGTAGAAAAAACGATTATGCAAATATTCAGGCAAAATTAACGGATAACAGGACTGTGTACTATATAAAGCTACAGAGTAACGTTTCACTCATTTGCAATTTCGCATGTTAAAGCTCTACTGACATCATAAAATAATTTAATTTTGATAATATTCTAGTCTCTCATTGGTTGATTTCCAAAAGGAACACTAGAATAAAACGTAATAACCTGGTTTGGTATGGGGACACACCCCCTTGACAACCAGCTGATTCATTTGTATCTATGCAATCCCACATTTCCAGTCCATGGAATTACATGGAAAATTCTAAATTTAATAAATGTACTTTTAACTTCAAACAGTAGCTCGCTCTTACCTCGTGTAAACAAACATCATGGCTGCTAGATCTGTTATTACGTCCCCTTAAGTTATTACGTCCCCTTGTTTCAAATCACTTCCGTTACTAGGGATGTATTATTGCGCGGCAAATTTGAACTCTTAAAAAGCAGCACAATTTTACATCCACAGTTGTTTAATTATTTAAAAATTATATTATAAGGAATGACTCTAATCCTTGGCCAAATTATTCGATTATAACCTGGTTTTGGTCAGTTTACGCTTTTTTATAATCCGCTTCGCGGATAATAAAGCGTAAACTGACCCAAACCAGGTTATAATCGAATAATTTGGCCAAGAATTAGAGTCATTCCTATAATAGCCGAGAGTGTAAACAAATAGCCGCCATATTTCATCGATAGACGCCATATTAGTTCGTGTTCTATTGTTACTTTCTAACTATGTATACACCAAAATCATCGTCACGCGCCAATGCATATTCCAGTGGCCAAGTACACCGTGTACATCGAAGTGCCGGTGACTGTAAATAGCGGTAACAAACCTATCACGAATTTTGCAATAAGTAAAGTTGCAAAAAGACCAGAACACATCGTTATAGCATCCAATATAAAAGAGTTGCAGTAAATATATGCATAAAACACACAAGCACAACAAATAAGAGTGCTCACTTCCGAACGTGACCGACACCGCATGGTCATGCATGCAAACTCTAGGTCAATGAAACGTTTGTTTACAGTCAAGCGTTTCAAAGCATTGATCGGGGAGCAATAATTATTTGTAAAATGAAAGAAGAAATCCAATATTTGCATGAAAAACGTACTTGCAAATAAACTTCACAAGGAAACAAGGTATAATTCCCCATATTTAAAAAAACATTCCTGGATTGCATATGAACAGTTAAAACATAAAGGGGTTAGGCCTGTAGACCTGAAAGGGGGGGGGGTATAGGGGTTTACATTCTCATTGATGGCTAAAAATGCAGCCATTTAAATAATTTTTACAAAGGTGTAATATTTTTTCAATAAATAATTTTTATACTATAACTATTCCTTTCTTTATTTCTAACTCTGAAATGTACAGGTGTGCCAAGAACAAAAAAAAATGATAACATTTCTTAATTTTCTATCACACATATGCCTCATTCATAGAATTTATGACTGTTTAGGAAGAATTACCATTTTGAAAGGAAAAGTAATTATTTGCACATATTCAGTAGGTAGTTTGGAAAATTATATGTGCAATTAACCCTGCTCCTAAAGATCTTTGATGAGTCAAGTCTTCATAGGAATTTTTCCTGAATGTTAGAATATAGTTTTATTCCAGTAATTAAAAAAACAAGTTAATGAATAAAATGTATTTTATTCATTCTTTTCTTTTCTCTCTATCTTTTTTACAGAAGTAGAAAAGTATCAAAGAATCAAACAATGTGTCTTGTTTGGCGATGAAAAATATTTTCAGCCATAAATGATGCTTACAATATTTCAAAGCAATTTTTTTTATCGATACATAAACAATTCCATGTAAATTGTAAATAGATTATTATTAAAGTGTTAGGTACATGTAACTGACAAAAATTGAAAATTGTCCACTAAAATTAACTAAATTGTGATACTGTCGGTTCATAAAAATTATTCACAATTCAATTCCAAAAGTTGAAAACAGAAACAAAAAAATTTTCATGCACATTTGTTTACAAATTGATTTTATATACATATACATGTATAAATAATTCCAAACCATTGAAAATATAAGATTTTTCATATGTTACCAAAATTTAAACAAGGAATACATATATACATTTATATTTAAATGGTGTTGACAAATTGAAAGTTATTTAAAATGTAATATATTAATGAAAATAAAAGTACTATATATAAATTTTAAAAGTAAAAAGATCCTATGAGAAATAAAGCACATGTATTATGAAATTTAACATTTACTTGTACTTTCCCTGTGAAAAAAGGCAAATGTTAAACCTGCCATGCGAGAGAAGAGGTTGTACATGTACCAATTGCAAACAAGAAGGGGCCAATCCTCACCTGAGCAATTCAGGAAAAAAACAGATCAGATCAGAACTGAAAGTAAACTGGGTGGGGGGGAGGGTTATTATTATACATAGGTTGGCTAGGGGGTCATGATTTGAACAAACTTGAATCTACACTACCTGAGGATGATTTCCAATAAATATAAGGAAGCCTGGCTTTGAATCTTGAAAAGAAGATTTTAAAAGGTTTCCCTATGATCCTATGTAAAACTTTCATCGGCCATTTTGGCCCCACCCTACGGGGGTCATGATTTGAACAATCCTTGAATCTACACTACCTGAGGATGATTCCACATGAGTTTCATCTTTCCTGGCCCAGTGGTTCTTGATAAGAAGATTTTTAAAGATTTTTTCTATATATTCCTTTGTAAAACCTAGAATGGCCATTTTGGCCCTACCCAACCCCAGGGGGTCATGATTTGAACAAACTTTAATCTACACTACCTGAGGATGATTCCACATGCGTTTCATCTTTCCTGGCCCAGTGGTTCTTGAGAAGAAGATTTTAAAAGATTTTTATATATTACATGTAAAAATCATTTTCACTACCCCCGGGGGTCATGATTTGAACAAACTTGAATCTACACTATCTGAGGATGATTCCATATATTTCATCTTTTTTTTCAAAGGTTCTTGAGAAAAGATTTTTTTTTACTATATATTCCTATGTAAAACTTTGATCGGCCATTTTGGCCCCACCCTACCCCCAGGGGTCATGATTTGAACAAACTTGAATCTACACTACCTGAGGATGATTCCACATCATTTTCATCTTTATCCAGTGGTTCTTGAGAAGAAGATTTTTTAAAAATGTCATTAATTTTTCTCTGGAGAATCATAATTATCTCCCCTTGGAAAAGGGCCTGGCCCTTCATATGAACAAACTTGAATCCCCTTCACCCAAGGATACTTTGTACCAAGTTTGGTTGAAATTGGTCCTGTGGTTCTTAAGATGAAGTTGAAAATGTGAAAAGTTTACGACGACAACAACGACAATGACAACGACGACAGAAAACGGACAAATTTTTCAGAAAAGCTCTGAGCCTTGTGGCATGAGGTGAGCTAAAAATCCTTGCTGTCCATTCAAATAAAACACAAGTACGCAGGAAGTATGATGGATTATTATCCTATACATAGGTTGGCTATCTGGTAATGTTATGATGTTCACCCTTCCTCTATGCATAAGGTCCTCTTACATCAGAATTGGTATACATGTAGAGATCTCACAATTACTGTTGTCAGCTCATTACTACCCTTATGCTAGCCAGAGCACAATCAATGTCACCAGGGGACACTTCCAAGCAGAAATCATTTTCTAGAGGCAGCAGCTGAAAACAGAGAGGATAGTCAGTTAAATTCGACATTGCAAGTATGTACTGTACTGAAAATAAATTATATTATCAAGTTTTAATGCTGCTTCAATGAACTTTTTTTTCAACGGTTAAAGAATTAAAATTACAACAAAATCATTTTCATTTTAATGTATTAAAAAAAAATTAATAACATTTTATCTCATATATTTCTCTTTTTTTCATTCTAGTAAATATTTTTATTACTATACTTGTAGGATATTTTAACACAAGTGGATGAAAAGCATCAAGTTTTGAACAAAGTGTAGAGGCAGAAACAGATTTCATTATATCTTATATCCAAGGTTCATTACAGTATGAAAACTCCAGTTCAGAAATTGCATGGTATTTCTATGGAGAATGAAAAGTATTTTAAGATCCTCGCATCCTATGCTGTTGTCAATCTCCATGCATTACCCCAAAAACCAGAGTTTAGAAATCTGTGTTTGTGGCATGAGGTTCATCATTCTGAACAAGAATTTTGAAATTCATAATAATCTTGAACCCCTGTTTGCACCCTCTACCTTCAGGAACCAGGAAAATGTGATTTTGTTTTGTGGCAGCATGGTCCTCTTGAAACAGGAAGGAGAGTTACAGTGCCTTCTTGTGTGAAAGTGGCAATTAGAAACAGATAAACTAGATGGAGCATATAGACGCTATCTATCATTCAACTAATTCTGAGTTCAAAAAAAAACATTAGTTTTTTAAAACTTACCACACTTTTTTCTTTTTTTTTCATTTCTGAAAGTAAAAGCCTTGATCCAGGATTTAGGAGGCCTGATAAATTGGCAGAGATGCTGTCATGGTCTTTGGAATTCTTACTCTTGTATTACATGCACAAGGACTCCAATATACTTCCTTCAAGTTCTAAAAGTAAATTTAGAACATTTCCTTTAATACCTTTATGAACAAAAAAAATTATCAAATGAAGTAATAGAAGTACAAGTGATCAGTAAAATTGAATGGCAAATGATATAAATTTACACCCTTAGAAAAAAATATGTGCATATATATATCTGTATATCATTTATTAAAGTTTCTAAACATTATAAAGGTTACTAAATTGAAATAACTCAAAATAATTAAAATGTATATTGCATAAAATTTAATACCTGCAATATATGTGTATTCTTTAATTGACTTCTTTTTATACACAATCCACTGCTTGGTTTTCTGTTTCTCTATTACTGCTGGTAAATCTACTGCACAGCAACCTAATTCCTAAAATTGCACAGTCATGTAATACCATATAAAATGTATGAAATTACTGTATTTTTTATTTTGTCCTTGATTTATATTCATATCACTGCATTGACTTTACATGAGACTTGAAAACTTTACTCTTGCTTCTGAATAAAATTTTTTCCAAATATAATATACCCAACATGAAGACAAACTTTTATCAAAAATTAATGCAGAAAATATTGCATTGCAATGTTTTCTTTTCTTTAAAATGTAGAGAAATCTTTTCAAGCATTACTGGTAAAACATACTCTGTACTGAAGTTGCATTCTGTAGAATTGTCTTGCTTATCCTTATGCAAGATCAATAAAGATTCTTTGGCACCAACGGTAAACTGATCCCATGATACCCCAAAATGAAGGACCAGAAGTTGCAGCAGGATTGCAACAGCATTTCTCTCTCCATAAAATTGTGTAGACATCCATTTTCCTACATGACCCTCCTGCATTAAAAATGAAATTGTAAATGTGGAATTCTATTAAGTAATACATGAAAAACTGTATATTTATATTTTTTATTATTTCTTATATTCAATTATGCTTCGCTCTTTGTAAGGCTTAAAATTTCTTTTTTTTTCAAAGCTTCTAAAAGACATTATTGAAAAATTTATTTTCATTCTGTCTCCTTATAATTTTGATGGTTTATAATGTAGCATGTCATTTTTTCTTTACTATTCATTAACAAATCCTTTTTTTAAAATCATGAATTACACTACCTATTAATCATTTCTTTAAAGTAATTTACTTCATTATAGCAATGCAATGAATATGTTAATGAAATGTGGGATTGAAGTTATCCTCAAAACATCTTACTCTGAATGTTCTTTTCATTATTAAACACATTAAACTTTAGAAATGAGCTTCAAACTGGTATGCAATACATGTACTTACATATGTACTGTGCAGGTAAATTAATACTCTACTCCTGCAGCTATTTTCTCTGCCTCAACAAGAGCGGAGTATTGGTCCACTTTACTCTTTGAAACATGCTCCTTTTAAGCAGGTCCAATATTTCCCTCTCTCCAACAATAAATCATCTATCTGAAAGGGTATCCACCTCCATCTTGTCATATTCATCAGTATTCCTTGAAAGAAAATATACAAGAGAAAATATTCAAATTGTTTAAGTTTTAAATCTTTCATGTTACATGCTACAGTAGCAATCTGTAAATCAAGATAAACAAAAAAACCCACTGTAATTTACATGAATATTTAAGGGTAACAAATCACTGCATCCAGTTCCTTCATTAGAGTTTGAGACATTTTAATCATATCAAAAGACAGTAAAATTTTGAAACTATACCACTGTGTAGTAAATTGCATACTAATATAGTAATAACATAAATTTAGGGAATCACTTTTTAGCTTGTTGGGTATGCCAGGACATCAACAATATTAGAAATGTGCATATAATTTGCATACAATGTTTTCTAGACTAATAGATTTAAATCACATGGATCCTCTCTCTCAATTTCAAAAGTTCCTGTCCACTGAGGTTAGACACAAATGAGGCCTTCTTAGCTGCTGATCTTTAACTTAGCGAAATTTTCATTCCAGTAGAATTATCAAGAAATCAACTCACATAACTAAACTCTCAAAGATATATCACAGAGAAAACAAGTAGAAATGGAAACAGAGTCATAATGTTTGTGACATTCTATACCATCATTTTATATGATTTTTATTGTGAGGTAAAAATTAATGTAACATATCTTTCCTACCTTTGTTTTACTCTATTTACAGCACACCTTTGTTTTACTCTATTTGCAGCAGATGCTGTTTTTATAGTTATAAAAACTACTAAATTTGCTACTAATTCTTCATTACAGTGTGTCACCCACTTTGCAAAGTGGTTAAAGCATCTGCTTATGTGGCGGGTTCGAATCCCACTTGGGGAGGTAGAGATCGGTCCTACGGATTATACCGTATAAACTGAGGTCCCGTGTCGCAGAAGGTGCTGGCATGAAAAAGATCCCTCCCTGCTCAATGGATAGGACAAAGTTTGCAGCTTTCCGCCCGCCAAGTGGTGGCGTCTCCATACGAGTGAAAATTTTTGAGACGGACATTAAAAAATATAATCAATCAATCAGCGTGTGCCATTCACAAACCTTGATATATCTTTCCACATCTTATATTCATCGCCCCCCAGCCGGCCGCCTCTTCTTCATCACTTTCACCATTATCATCATCCTTATAACCAGAAGATCCAAACATAGCATCTCGTTCATGATCTCATTTATTTGATTAGTATCCTGTGTGTTTAAAAGATAATGACAGATTGATATTACTGCAATATTCATATAATTAATTATTCTGATTTCTTCAGTTATAAAAAAAATGACAAAAAAATCCCAAAACTAATTTTGTGACAATGGTAAAATAGATTGGGTTGGGCCATAACTGAATGCAAATACAGCATGTGTAAATATTATTATATGCAGCTGGTCAAGTCTGAAATGCACTTATCTCACTTGCATTAAAGGAAATAAATGAGTTATAAATGAATATTACTTGCTTGAAAATTAGCAGTGCACAGATGCTTTAATACTTTTTATTTTTGCATTCTAGTTAGTACTTACTGTACATGTTCATGATGTGCTCCAGGTGCTCGGTTTCATCATCGTCACAATAACTGGCATTGTCCGAAATATCGATGTTCCTACTGCTGACACTCTAAAGCAATATAAAACGATTTAATTTTACAATTCGCCAACAACTGTACTTATCTATTGTCACTTTTATTCGTGAACAGCTATAATAATTGCTCCCCTGTGTTTACACATGTGCTTTTGGATCTACTTTCATTTTCACTCCAGTCTTTCCTTTGCGCATGGGCAAAACATAACACGGTCAAATCGTGCTGAGTGCAGACGTGTCGTCGGTCGGTCAGCTGAGGTCCTGTCACAATGCAAACTTTTTACGAAGTAAATACATTTTTTGGTTCGTAATTTATTTTTTAGGTGCTTTTGCATTTATGCTCGTTTATCTTACCTTCGGCCTCGTCTTGGATATTCACAACCAGGAACTTCACCTTTTCAGTGCACGTGGACTGCAGCTGCACATGTACCAACTTTTGTGCCTATGTAACTGTGTACGTGTTATCAGCGTTGCTCAACACCAAAGATGCTTTCAAAAGCATTTATTTTATCTCAGAATTTGAGATACTTCTGCCTTTTTATTTTATTGAATAAAAATTTTACAAATAGGCCTTGGCGAATATCCTGTTCGAATGAAACCGACTGACTAAATCAGTCGTGCGTGACCACACAATTGGGTGATACTTGGTTAGCAGATAGTAGGGTTATCAAAAACTAATATGGCCGACTCCGATTTGGCATTTAAAAGACTTCAGTAGAGCTTTAAGATTGATCTTACAATGTGCTGTGAGTTTATCTCTCGAAACAAGTACATCTTACTGGCAAAGCAGTACGGAACAGCGCTTTTGATTGTTCTACGGAGTAATTGGGCGCTTTGTATTATTGAGATTCAAACTGTTCACTCATCTATCAAAATAGAAAAGCGTTAATTCTTTTAATGTTGAATTTTATAACAAAAAGATCATGTATGGTTTAAGTAGACGGTACGTGAAGCAATTACAATGAGATGCATTGCTGTGCAAAATTTTTTTGTTAGAGCATTTTAATAGTTCGTTTTCCTAGACTTAAAAAAAATGAAAAGAAAAACGAATTTTAAAAAGTTTTTTTTTTCAACCTTATTTTTCATTTTTTTAAAAAAAGTGTGAAACAAAATTGTACTTATTAATCTATGAATGACATAAAAAATACATTGTAACGCAATATACATGTACGTGTACGAAAATTCTTAATTTTGAGATAAGAATTATTGATATGCAATAAAGATCAGATGACTCAACAGTCACATAGGAGTTCATTCCTTTCAAATATTTTTCGCTTACTCAAATTAGTTGCTCGATAAAAAATTATCACTACGTAGCTTTATCAAAAGAGTCCGACATGAATTGAGAAAAAAATTTAAGGATTTTTTTGCGCATACTCAAATCAGTCCTTCAATAAAAAATTATCTATATGTAACTTTATCAAAAGAGTCCTTCGACATACACGTAAGTGCTGGAGTGTTTATTGAGATTTGTATGAATGATAACAGTCACATATCAATTAAGTGGTAATAAACTATTTCATCTAGTTGTGGACTACTTTAAACAACTTTTTAAGAACTTTTGAAATATTTGTTTCAGGACCGAAATACATGCATTTTTGTGATAGGACGTTTTTAAGACAAGTGTACTAGATTTTCAATCTAGATCCTGACCTTAACCTTTAACCTTGTGCCTGAACTTTCATATTTCACTTGTATATTCCTAATGACAAGACGTTGATTTGGCTTCCATTTTTTTTAAAACACCATATGGCCTAAAGCTGCCATGTGGGGGAATCTTTGTTTCATGTATACACACATCTTTTTAAAGTTAATGACAGTGAGGATATGTACATTTAACTCACCTATCTAAATAGACAATTTCACTTTCTAATTAACATATTTTGGTGCATTACTAGTTTTTAATATTGAACACGTGCATTTTGTTTAAATGTTTTTCTATTTTTATATAAACAGTTTGAGTTATTAATAACAAATAATGGATTTTTCTATTTGAAAATTTGATATGTCATAAAGATCAAACAAATGTACATTTTTAGTGACAAGATACACGATGCATATTACCGATATGGAAATCCATTTTGTTATTTCTACATGACTCAATTTATAAATACAGTCAAACCTGTTTTAAGAGGCCACTTGTGGGAGAATGACAAATTGGCCACATAAGACAGGTGGCCACTTATTCCAGGTTTCAAACCAATGAATAAAAAATTGCGACCAGTTATTCTCACAGGTATCCAAATCCACAATTTCAACAAGTTTAAAAAACTTGGGAAGTTTTAAGTCACATGGATTCCCCTTTTCTTATATTTCATTTTACATGACTTTCTGAAAGAAATCTGTTATTGTTTTTTTGTGTGTGTGTGTGTGTTTTAATTTAATTTTAATTCAATTTTTTACAGCCATAAAATTTACATCACACGAAATTATGAAATGTTCTAACAACTCAGCATTTCCCTGATGCTGTGTAAAGCTTTTTTAGTTTTTCTAGATATGTATTTGATTATATAACATAAAAGGTTAAACGCAAGACTGGCCGCTTCACTTGATAACCTCAGGTAAAATTGTAATTAATGTATTGAGTTTACATCATGACCATATTCAACAACTTACATTCGTATCTTTATAAAGAACACCAAAAAACATTTGTTAACAATAAATTATTTAATCATATTAATTAAATCATTAAATCCTGTCAGAATTCAAATTAAACCTGCAATTATTGGTTATTAACTCATTATCAGCTGTTCATGTTTGGCTTCGTATGAGGATACGAGGTCACGTGACAGACGGAAGTCATGTGACAAAACAGACAAAATGGCCGCTGAAAACAGGCATGTTGCAAGGTATCACACCGGTAATTGTTTTCACTATATAATTCAATATAGAATAAAAAATCGTTAAAAATCAGGTATTTGTTTACATGAAAAAATATTTAGCAGGAGGTGTTAAACATTACCTGTCACATTAGCTGACACCAAAAAACAGGGTACCCACACGGCATTTTCGGACTTTTTCCATCTGCAAACAGGGCTACCCTCAAATCCACGTGTTTTCACTGTGTTTATAAACACCTCGAGTGCACTACAGGAAGTAGCCTCCTATGCCATGAAAAAAATAGTTCCTGTCAAAAACCTTTATTTATTCACAAAGTACATAAATTTTACTAGGCACAGGTACCAAAGTTGTAAAAATGGCATGAAAGAAAATAGAAAAACGTCTCAAAAGAAAAGAAAATCAATTTTATATATATGGACCTACATTTGACTAAGTTCATTTTGATTGGTCAATTACCGGTGTGATACCTTGAAGGACCTTTGAAGGTGTTCGATTTTTTCCATTTTTTCACCTGAGATTCATTAAATAATTGTCCCCAACATCCTTAAGTCTGGTGATCTAAATCCCCTTATTTCTGAAGATATGAAGCATTTATCTCCCTTACTCCAGAGCAGTCAAGAATAACACACAGAGCACTCTGGAAGCAGTTTTTTGTGCATCTTTTGAAGCAGAATTTCATCATTAAAAGAATAAGCTTGCCAAGCAATTTTTTATCTGTGGAGAGTATATGCTTTGTTCTTCACCACAAACAGAAAAGAGTTTACAAGTCTAAGACCATTATGTAATTATTACATAACAAAGTTGCATTTTCTCCTTCAAAGAATGAACAAAAATACAGAAATTGTTAAATACTGGGTTGATAATGAAAACTGTATCTGGTCAATTTATGTTCCAAATAAAGCCTAGGTATGTGTCTACAAGCTGCTGTGCAGAAGTTTATCTAAATGCTGTGTTGTAACTCAGGGCAGTCAAAATGATATCAGCATCTAGGGAGGTTCTTCACAGCTCCCACACTCCATTAAACTGGCTTTGATGATAAGAAACTGGAGACAACAATTCAGATGTAATTTATTGTTGTGATTTATGCAACTGGCTTTCTCTTAAGACACAAATTAGCCATGAAATTTCAATTTAACATGCATAATTATTCTCATTTCATGGATTTACTCAGGAATTCCAAAGGTGTTTAATGAATTTCCATGATTTATGCAAGATTATATCTTTTTGACTCAACAAATTTACATAAAAAAATAAACATTTAAATTTTAAAATATAAATATTAAACATTTTTATGAGTTTGAACACTTTTCTATGTGACAAAATGCATCACAGAGACCAGATTCAGGACATCCTCCATAATTCTTTGAGGTGGGTGGGTGTACAAAAACTGCTGATAAAATTTATAGGAAGTGATTTGAGAAGAAAGGTACACCTTATTAGCTGAATTATAGTTATTCTGATATTTTAATTATGTAAATATGCCAAATTTCTTCATCAGTTCAATTTGGAATTTATTAATATTTCAGTACAATGATATACTTAATAGATCATGTTCATATAAGCATCACTGACTGAGACTTAATTCAAAAGTGACAGTCAACACCTACATATAAATGAAAAAATAACAAAAAACAGTCTCCGACAAACTGAAAAAACATGAATGTCAGCTGCGAAAGCATGAATAAAGTCCTAAAAACCACAAGAGGCATGCCATGGTCCTAAGTGACAATCTGCACTACATGTATGATGCATGGTTAGAACTCAGAATAAGTATTATCATGCAGACCCTGACAGTATTTCAGGATTTTTTGGTCATAACCTTCCTTCCTATGAAAAATTCTTAATGAATTTTACTTATGTAGCTTATGTATTAAGTTTATTAGACAGATCTGACTCATTTCATTATTTCTGTTCTTCCAATGCAGTGATATATGTATCACTGGAGGTCTGAATAAATTAAAATAAATCATGTGTCTGTAGAAATTATCATTCTGTGAGAACATATTTTACTTGTTTACATTTTATCGCAGTTGTCGCTTGTGCTAAAAATTCATTCGCAAACCTAGAATTAGTCTATTCTTGAAAAATCAGCTTTAACACCCTTTACCGCAAAGTCTGTAGACACTATAATTGACTGCGGTCAGCTGGTGCAAATAATGTTAAGTCATATAAAATGAAAAAACAATATTCTCTGACTTCTTTCCACATTTTAGATGCATAATGCTACCTTTTTAGTCATATTTTAAAGTATTGAGTGTAAAAAATAAGCTATTGTTAATTTTTTACACAGAAATCTGTGAAAAATAATGTAAATTCTAATTTTAATTTTAATTAAATTGTGTGCTTTCAAACTAAAAGTTAATAAAATCACATATTTTGTTTAAATATGCTTTTTAAAAATGAAAAATGTCTTTAAGAAGGATTTAAATAATTTTTCATAATCACCTTCAAGGTATCACACCGGTAATTGTTTTCACTATATAATTCAATATAGAATAAAAAATCGTTAAAAATCAGGTATTTGTTTACATGAAAAAATATTTAGCAGGAGGTGTTAAACATTACCTGTCACATTAGCTGACACCAAAAAACAGGGTACCCACACGGCATTTTCGGACTTTTTCCATCTGCAAACAGGGCTACCCTCAAATCCACGTGTTTTCACTGTGTTTATAAACACCTCGAGTGCACTACAGGAAGTAGCCTCCTATGCCATGAAAAAAATAGTTCCTGTCAAAAACCTTTATTTATTCACAAAGTACATAAATTTTACTAGGCACAGGTACCAAAGTTGTAAAAATGGCATGAAAGAAAATAGAAAAACGTCTCAAAAGAAAAGAAAATCAATTTTATATATATGGACCTACATTTGACTAAGTTCATTTTGATTGGTCAATTACCGGTGTGATACCTTGAGCGCACGGGACCTAAAAACACTCGCCACTGGCCGCGTTAGACAGGTGGCCGCTTAAATGAGTTAAAATATAGTGAAAAAAATGAACGGGCGGGATTGAAACTGGCCGCTCATGAGGAGTGGCCGCTGATTAAGGGTGGCCGTAACAGCAGGTGCGACTGTATTTAATTTTAGTTTTTAATGAATATATTAGCAAATCCGAAACATAAATATACTGTTGCTATAACATTTCTCACAGAAATATAGAATTTTTTTTTATCGGGAAATTATTGAAGCTACGAATTTCGAGACGCGTTTAATTGAGATACTCTTGCACTTTCACAAAATATCCTTTGTGTGAAATATGAAAGTCCTAGCATTACCTGTTCAAAAGTTATTACCAAGGTTAAAGTATCTAAAAGATAGGTCAAACTCCAGGCTCAACATCAAAGGATAAAAGTTGTTAGTTTCTAAAAGAAAGGTTTTGTCACTGACGTATGTATAAAGTATGAAGCCTTAGCTCTTACAGTTTAAAGTTATGGCCATGGTTCAAGTTTTTAAAACTATGACATTCTTCAAGGTAAACATTGAAGTATGAAAATCCTAGCAACAATTGTTCAAAACTTATGGCCAAGGTTAAAGTTTGTGATTTTTATGTAAAATTTGTCAACCCCAAAGGTCAAAAGGTCAAAGAATGAGTGCACTTAAGCTATGAGAGTTGGATCCCGATGTTTTGCGCAAAATAAAATTCCAAAATTCATTAAATTTATGTTTTATAGGTATTAAACAATGTCTTAAGAGCAGGTTTTGGTATATTATATTACATGAAAGTATTAAATAATGCCGAACGACACTAGCTTTTGAAACGGGGGTCTAACAGTTTTGTCTCATTTCTATTGTTATTCATATGCATACCAGTTTTCAACGACTTTGTTTACATCGAGCCGCAACTTGGCCATTTTTCTTATTTGCACAGAATATGTATTTTAACTTAAACTTATGCATATCCAAAGGACAATGTTGGCCAAGTTGCGGCTCATATCTAATTTTCAAAACAATGTCCCCAAACTAGGGTCGAGATAGCTACTAAATTAACCGGTCACTGGGCAACAACGATTGATATTATAATCACCTTTCTCGCGTGACCTTCTGCTGTTCGATACACCATGCAACGCTTTCATTGAAAATTTCATTGTATTTAAGTCTCTGTTGTGACAGTATCTATCGTACTTCCAACTTCAAACTATGGGAGATTTTTCCGCATATTTTAATAGGGGTTGAAGATAATATGTGTCTCTTATTTAACTTAATGCTTTTCATTAATGTTTAATGATATTCTTAACAGGCATGCCAAAGTAAAAACAAAAAGAGTCAAGACTGAAATTCGACCTAAATGGCTAACACAGGAAATAAATGATGCCAGACATTTACGCGATACATATCATTTACAAAGGAATTCAGAAAATTACAAAATTTGGAGAAATAAAGTTACACAATTAATACATCAAGCAAAATCAAAGTATTACAAATCTGCAATTGAAGAAAGCTCAAGTCCTAAAGAAATGTGGAGTTATTTAAACCATTTGGCATCTAAATCCAAAACTTTTACACCTAACCGTATTACACAAAATGGTTTAGATTTTGAAGATCTACAGGATATTGTTGATATTTTTAACAAACACTTTACGGAAATATCCTGTAAATTTTAGCAGATATGTCAGTACAAAGTTTTGATTCAGAATTATTAAATCGGTATACAGAAACTAAACTAGGGAAAGAAAATGTTTTCAGTATTATTGAAATATCTGAATTTGAAGTATTGAATATGTTGAATACACTTGATGTAAATAAGTCAGCCGGTATAGACTTTATCGGACCTCGTCTTCTAAAACTTTCGGCAAATGTCATATGCAAATCTATTACACATCTTATAAATGCTAGTATCACTAATGGAGTATTTCCATCCAGTTTAAAACAAGCAAAAGTCACTCCTATTTTCAAAAATGGCGACCACGCAGATCCAGGGAACTACAGACCGATATCCATTCTTCCAACATTATCAAAATTAGTTGAAAAACACATAGCAAATCAAATACGTAACTTTGCCTCTAACTTTGATCTTTTATTTAAATCGCAATCTGGATTTCGAGAATTTCATTCATTTCAAACGGCTCTTACAAAACTTACAGATAATTGGCTACAAGCTATGGACCAAGGAAATCTAGTAGGCATAACTTTCATTGATTTTAGCAAGGCATTTGATTTGGTTAATCATGAAATTCTTATAAGTAAACTTCAATCATATCACTTTGATCAAAGGGCTATTAAATGGTTTCATTCTTATTTAACCTCAAGGTCTCAGTGTGTAAAAATAGGAACATATTCCTCTGATTTTTTGCCCGTCACAGCAGGAGTGCCCCAAGGTTCTATCTTAGGTCCCCTATTATTTTTATTGTATATAAATGATCTCCCTTTACATGTAAATAGAACAGATATTGATATGTTTGCCGATGATGCAACCTTGCTTACATATCATAAAAATATAGAAGGTATTGAGAATGCCCTTAACTTTGATTTGTCTGAGATTGAAAATTGGTGTTCCAAAAATCAAATGGTGTTAAATACCAATAAGACAAAATGTATGCTTATGGGAACTCAGCAGAGAAAATCAAGAATAGATTCACCTGAACTAAATTTATATGCTTCAAACAAATTAATTGAAAATGTTGAATCTGAAAAACTTCTGGGAGTGCATATTGATGGTTCATTGCGCTATAATCACCATATTGACTCAGTTTGTAAATCTTTGACATATAAATTATATACGTTGCGCAAAATTAAAAAATTCCTTCCCTTACACACAAGAAAACTATTCTATAATGCATACATTCTGCCTTCTTTGAACTATTGCCTAACTATTTGGGGTAATGCGCCAGGTGCTGGCATAGATAGAGTTTTTAAATTGCAAAAAAGGGCAGCCCGTATTATACTACAACTGTAGATTTGAAAGTGGTCCCGTTCAAATTTCCGGAATTTAAGGCTAAAATTACATGTTCTTTACAATTACATTTTCTGTAATTATTTAGAAATATGTATGACGAAAAATTCTAGAAATAAATATCAAAAGCATATGCTTTCACATTAATCATAGATTAATTTAGCGATATATTGTAATGTTAATCTTGAAATGGGTATCCGAAAAGGTTCCAAATGACGTACTTAAGTGCACTCATTCTTTGGTGTCACCAAAGCAAAGGTTTCACAGAAGTAAAAACACCTGTAAAATGTGAAGGCTATTGCCCCGTCCAATCTAAAGTTATAGGCGAAGTTAAAATTTTGCGGACAGACAACAGACAGACGGATGAAAAGGAAAAAACATTATACCCCTGAATCTTCGATTACGGGTACATGAATTCAATTTAAAACAAGATGGTACAGAACAACAAGGAGTAACTTTCATAATAAACTTATTAGAAAATTTATGGTTTATGTTTTCTAAAGTTAGTTGTGTCAGGTTCTAAATTTTCATTTTCTAAATTAACTCCCATCCGGTAAATTAAAAATTTAGAACATGATAGTTCTAATCTCTTGTAAGATCTGAAAAAGTACATCTTGGTTTGTGGTTCTATTGTAAAACAAATCAATTCCATGTCTTTAATATTTCCCAATATGATGAGCGTCATTGCGTGGTTAATTAAGATGTTGCACACAAACCAACAAAGTAGTATACCTATCAATAAAATAATTCTAATTTAAACATGACCATAATCGCATGCTATTTTTAGTTTCCATCATTATACTTTCAGTTGTGTAAATTAGCGACACCTAATTGTTTCTATGTTTAATATTTTGTCCTTTTTGTCACATTTTTACGAGACTCGTCAGATATATTTAAATTGAAAGTTATTGTCTGCATCAGACGTCAAAATTCACAAAAACGTCCATGATTTTTATGCACATGTTGCCCTCATGTTTATGTAAATTAGACATCGTGTGGGATATATGAGAAAAACCTCGATAGGCGGCAAAGCATTTGAAAAAGGGACAGAACTCAAACCGGACGGGGTTATACTCCATATTTCAATTATTCATGAAACACTCTTTTTTTCATTTCTAAACAGGAGTAGAGCTGATCCACTCACGATGAATTGTGACTTGTGCATTCTTCTCTCCTACATGTTGCGCATGCTCTGTCAATATGATTCAAAGCTTGCTGAACAGTATGGTAAGTCATTATATATTTTTTTATTATTTTTATTGAAATGTATTTTGCAAATTTACCCCAAGTTTCATAAAAGTTTTAGTGTCTGGTAAAATACTGTCTTTCTACAAATATTCACTAAGATACTGTAGATCAAAATATTTTCACCACACTTTATTTTCGCGACTTAGCTATTTTGGTCTCTAGCGAGACAAAATGTTCGCGAGCTTTGGTTTCTGTTGTATATAAACAAAAATAATAAAATTTTCACGAGAATAAAATTTTCGCAAGCAGACAGACTCGCCTAATTACGCGAATTTTAAGCTCAAAGTGAATAGGGCGCGGATCTAAGAAATCTGATTTTAATCCGATTGTGTTTTACCCATTACTAAATATCTTGCAAAGTCTTTAATACATCTGACACATTGTATAATACTGTAGAAATTTGACAAAAAAATACCAGAAACATATTCAATAATGCAATCCCAAAAGGCAGTTACAATTTTTTTTCGAATCAAAATATTAAACGTACATTCAAGTCTGGTGAAAAAACGTCTGATTTAAAAGAAGAGAGGATAAGGCCCTTGTGTCATCCAGAGGACAAGAACTCTTCCCAATTCATGTAGAAACTGTAAATGACAAAAAATTCCAAATAACTGACACATCTTTTTTTCATCTTCATCAGAAGGGGGAAAAGAAAGTTGTCATTATATTATCATATCTTTTTTTTTAACTAAGCCTTTCTGAAAGGAAGTGAAAATCGCTAAAAACAAAATATACACGTTTTTCATTTCAATTCAACATATATCTTTCGAAAAAAAATAAAAAATAATTTTTATTCTATGTCTAGAATTAAAAACAATCTCTAAACTTTAATCAAATATGTCAGGAAACATTTCTTCATTTTTTTTTTATTCATATTAAACAAACCCTTTAGATTAATGAAGTATTTTCTTTAAACTATTGAGAATTTTATATTTATTTTCAACATTGAAAAATGAAAATTTTCATCAGTAGAGCAAATCCTCTAAAAACGGTAGTTTCGTAATATATCTAATTTGTGTAATTTTCTAGTTGCAAACGATTTTTCAAAAATTTCCCAAACGGTGACTTTGCACAAAGGTATTTAAAATGTAAGTCAAGTGCAAAGAATGCAGGGATACGTAAATCACAAAAAGATAATTTTATTGCCGATTATGTATTAATGTTTGCACACATGATTAAAATTCTGTTAACTGTCAGAGAGTATTACACTTTTATAGAATATTCTATTTAATTTGTCAGGTTTAGTGCCAAGGGTCAAAGATGACCATTTTTGCTGCCACTTCGCCCTCAAAATTTCATTATCTTCCTATAATAATATGTATATTTATTAATTGTAATAATTCAATGAATGAATTCATGTTTTGAAATTTTTTCTCTTATTTCCTGATCGTATTGATTCAAATTTGAAACCAGTCTTTTATGCACTTTCCAAAGTGCTAGTGAAAAACTTAGTTATCAACGGGTTAACCATTTGCAAAACTCATTATGTTAATGATACAGTACCTTGCATCACTGAATAAATGATATTTTAAAAGACAAATAGTTAGAAATAGTTAATCAACGTATATTACTCTCACCAATCCGACTCAAACAAGCAATATCTTTTTTAACATCACTTCGTTTTCAATACAACATGTTACAAACGGAGGGATTTATTTTCAGGAACCGGAAACAAAGTACCTGTCACTCTTGATCAAAGACCCCTGGAAACCAAACAGAACACACTCAACGGAAATGTAGAAAACTTCAAATGGAGCTATGGCGGATCGACAGGTAAAATCTTCGTTTCATTATTATGGCAGCCCATTCAATGGTTTCTTTTTCTTTGTTTTCTTCCAACAACTTCTTGTGATGCATTCTTCAATCATACACATATATTTTTGATTACAGGCCCGGATCATTGGCCTGAGTATTTTCCCCAGTGCGCTGGCAGACGACAGTCTCCAATTCACATCAGGACCGCGGACATCCATCATGTCACGTGGCTCCCAGAATTCCAGTTCATCAACTATGAGAAATTAAGCGGAGACGGAATGCAGCCAGCTTTTCTACATCTCAGGAACAACGGACACACAGGTATTCATTTCTTCTGTGCATCATTGGTTTCTGAAATACAAATACTTTTATCGACCTAAAAAGAAACTGAAACATACCTTTTCCTAAGAAGTTATTGTGAGCACATTTCACTGAGTTTACTTGCTTCTCTAACGTCAGTTGAATCGTTACTTTTCCAAAACAGCTAGCATGGCGATTGATGACGAAATTTACCTTCGTGGTTCGAATTTGGGTGAACTGTACCGAGCAGTGGAGATTCATTTCCATTGGGGTCCAGAAAACAACATTGGCTCGGAACACGTTCTCGACAACCATCACCATCCCCTAGAGGTTCGTAATTTTACACGAAAATAATACTTCTAGGGATTGACAAATTCATATCTACTGTTTGGGAATTGTAATATTATTATAAGAAATTTATGTCCTTCTTATAGGTTCACATCGTCCATTACAATACAAAATACGCCACACTTGCTGAAGCAAAGAAGCAATCAGACGGATTGGCCGTGATAGGAATATTTGCAGATGTAAGTTTAGAGCACCCTGTCATTATTAATAAAAACATTATATGAAATGGGTGAACACATTATGCTATTGTGTAATAATTTAGTCATTGAAGTTTGTGTCTTTAAACAAAATTAATGATGGTTTAACCGATTCAGATATCGGAGGAAAAGAACCACGCATTTGAACTGGTAGCCACAGCTCTCGATCAAGTAACAGAATACGGTATGAGCTTCAGATTCACATAAATTCATGCGCGACTCATAATTTTCTAAGATTTAACAAATACATAACATTTTTATTTTATTTTTCTAGACCAGAAAACAATTGTAACCGGATTAAGACCTATTGATATGCTGCCAAACGACACCTCCAGATATTACCATTACGCCGGAAGTATGACCACGCCTCCCTGTTACGAGTCCGTTTCCTGGTACGTGATGCATGATGGGATAACTATCACGCAGGATCAGGTATTGGAACCTTACGAAGACAAAATTAAAGCTCATTTTCGTGAAATGGAACTAAAAATACTTTATCAAAAACAAAGAAGATGGGCGCATTTGGCGGGTGATCTGCAGGAATCATTTGTACGAAACATTTATGGTTTAAATGTCCATGATTTGGTTGGCTGAACATACCTGGTCAGATTTTACGAACACGTCCATGGTTTTTTAGACGGGGTCACGTGACCCCGTCTTTTAGTTTACTCTCAGATGTCTAATAATAGAAAACGGCAACCGTGGTGATAACACATGAATTAAATCTACGCATACGAAAGAGTGCAGAAATTGTTTCGATCAAAACAAAAACAAATTGTATCAAACTGAAGAAATTGATATGAACCTTTGTCTAACTCAACTAATAAAGTATTTTGATTATTTAAAACTGAAAATATTAACTGTAAATAACACATGTAAGCAAAGTACTATCCTGCGTATTATTATGACTGTGTACGCATCATCCATTGTTTACTTCCGGAAAAATTATTAGTTCGTACCTGATGAAATTCGGAGCAGTTTAGAAAAGTTTCCAGACTGAGCAATTATTAAAATTTCTACTTCAAATTAAATTAAATGAAAAATGTGAATGTATATTATTCATAGTTTTGTTTTTAGTATGTTATTGACAAAATAAAGTTGTTATTAAAACTCGTAAAAAAAAAAATCAAATTATGAAGATTATTTTGACCCCGTCTTTCAGTACTGTTTCAGTACTTTGATTTTTAATTCAGTTTGAAAGACATTGTGAAGTTGTAACATTTATGTCCATTTTTTTCTAGGGGGTACTATAACATAATAATATATCACAAAAAATAAAACCTAAAATATCTAATGCATAGATGCATGATACGTGGTACATGTACATTATAAAATAGGAGATTGCAATTGAGAACCAAACTGAACCAAAATTTATCTAATTCAAAATTTTAATAAATCAGTACATAAAACGAAATTAATTAACTGACAAAATAAATGCTTGCTTGCCTGAATAACAATAAAAATTAACGCCCCATGCCAGGCTCGAACCAAAAACTTTTCGTTTCGAGTCCACTAAACAGGTAGTCAAACTTTCTGAGCTATCACCGCTACAAATAGACAAATGCTTTTAAAAGGACAAAGACACACCACATTGACACATTTGGATTTTTTTGGGAAAAGTTCATTTTTCGTGGTCTCTGGGTCTTCTCTCCATTTTTTTTAAAAAAGTGTAACCGTTTCTTTGAATTAAAGTACACACACATAACGTTTCAAAATCATGGAGAGAAGACCCAGACATAGAAAATTTTTTAGAAAAATGTGTTTCAAAATGTACAATTTTGTACCAAATGTCTGATATGGCCAATTTTCAAGTTATTTTTTAGCAAATCAAAGCTCAATTTCGGGAAAATATTTTCCGTTCCTTTCCGTTCCGTTGCACAGGAATCCGATAAATTAAAAAAATGTTAAAATTTCATGTGACATGTCAATAAAATTTTCACTTTTCAAGTACGCCCAGCTTCCTGCCGAATGCCAATCAAAAGCGCCCTCGTTCTTTATACCAAAGCAATGCTTTCCTTTGTATTTTACAGATAAACCGACTCAGACATCTAAAAGAACACGTGGAGGAAAAACACGGTCCACACCAACCTTGGCCCGTCAAAACTACCGGGAAAACAAAAAACCTAAACAGTACTGACAACAATGCTGTTAATTCACTAGAAACAACTGGTCATCATTCACCAAGCGCAAGTTACATAAAATACAATTTCAGGCCTTGTCAACCTTTGAATGGCCGGAAAGTTTACTGTAGCCATCCTTCCATGGTTAAACACAAGTCCCATTCGTCAGAATATTCCGTAGCAGATATAGCCGTCAGCCATCATGTTTCTAACCTTGGAGATCATGACGTTTCCAAGGCTTTGCTGCAAGATAATGGTTTTCATGGCTCTATTGGGTCTAGCCTATCCAATCACCCCCATGAAAGCCATCTGCATGGAACTGCATTGGACACGCACTCACATGAAAGTAAGTTGCCAGCGAAAAGAGTGGAAATCAATTTTGATGGCCACAAAACGAATCAACATCAAAGTTCTCAAACGGAGACAACCAAAGCCGCCCAGCCAGGGTACAATGGCATCTCTGAGAAAATGCTTCCAGAGGAACTAAAGGTCATCTTCTCAAGGAATCACATTCCAAATTTCAAAGAAAAACTAGAACCAAGGGATATTTACAAGATATTTGGGGAAATTTTCATTCGGCAGGCACAAATTCTTACCGTTCAAAAGAAATCTGACAAAGGAAAAAGGGTAAATACACAACTTTTTAAAGAACCAGAAATAAAAGAGTATGCGAATCCAGTATATTATGTGCAAAAGATTGAGACTGTCAGAAATACTGAAAAGAAAATACACCATTCATATCCAAAGCGAAATCCTCCAAAGCAAAATATGCAAAAAACACTGAAAGTAATGAATAATACGGCTCTCAAATCACCAAATAGAAAGAAAGTTTCAAATTTCAATTTAGTCAACAGACAAAGAAGCGCTGGCAAGTCATTCAACCTTGGTGCCGACCATCGCAGTTCGTACAGCGCACGAAAAAGCAATAAAATGGTTAATGGTGGATTCCATTTTTCTGTGCGTCAACCTGCATATCAACGAAAAATCAACACACTTCGTTTTGAAAAACCAAATAAAAGCCCAATTCAATATCAGTCGAATTCTCACATAAACCATCAAAGTTCTGTAAAGAGCACTCGTGTGAAATCGGAAACGCCGAACTCTCGTATGAAATCGGAAATACCGAACACTCACATGAAATCGAAAGGTTCGAACACTCGACTGAAACCAGAAACATCAAGAGGAGAGGTGAAAAAATTGATCGATTTAATTTCCGAAAACCATCTTGACGTCTTAGACAATAATTTTGAAATAAACTCACAGAACATGGTTTCTTCACACACTTCATTGGCGCCTCAAGTGGAGGGCAGTGTAGGTTTCAGTGAGCGCATGCCCCAACGTCCTTTACAGAGTCTGGTTTTAGAGGAAATGGCTGTATTTCCAGAGGCGGTCGGTTCGGGTTTATCAAATCAAAAGAGCGATATGATGACAGAGAAAGAGCAAAGGATGACAAAAAGTATTCTAATGGACCGCATGACACAATCAACTCCAGAGCCATCTCTAGTAACTGAAGCATTAGAAACCACACAGGGCCCGGCCTGGACATCAAAACCAGATATGGTATATGACCAGAACCAAACTACAAAACCCAAAATAACACATGAATCGAGCCATCAGTCAAACACAAAAATAACACATGAACCGATCCTTACTCGTGATCCAGAAATCGGTCATGAACCGATCCATCAGTCAAACACAAAAATGGTGCATGAACCAATCCTTACTCATGATCCAGAAATCGGACATGAATCGATCCAACAGTCAAACACAAAAATAACATATGAACCGATCCTTATTCATGATCCAGAAATCGGACATGAACCAGTACAAATATCAGGATCAGAGACTGTGCATGAACCAGTAAAATCGATACATGAACCAGTAAAAACGAAGCTTCGTTTTCCAATTCAACGAGAAAGAAACACCACTACAATTCCTATTAGAGACTTTTTAGGTAGCCATAATAATATGCTTTCTATCCTAACCGAGCCTCCGCCTAGAGATGAGAAACCTTATCTACCTTTATGAGAGGACATTATTTTCATTTCCAAATCTCAGGGAGAAGTAAAATAGAAGATGTTCCTTGACAGACGTCGACTTTCTCAAGCCGAATGGTGGATCTATCCTTTTGGTAGAAACGCAACCGCCAAGGAGAAAAGATTTGGGGAATAACATCGTTTGTTTACGATGTTCATCATTTTGTCAAAAAAGACCCGTGTAATAAATTCAACGAATTTTTTTTTTTTTATGGCTTGTAAACGGGTCGAGAATAAGGTTCAAATTTGGATTGCCATGGCCAATTTCTTTTTTGTGTTTTCGAAATATTTATTTCACAAAGAATTTGGGCAAGAGATTGTTACCTTGATTTGTTTGTTTTTGTTGCATGGAAATTGGTTTTATGTGTACTAGCAAGTACATTCATTAAAGCTACTACATTTGCAATGCTTTGCTTGTTAATACTAGTAACTCACTGGTTTTCTTTAGACACCCATGTATCGCAGTGGTAAAAAACGTGAGCAAGAGTCGAGGAGCAAGATGTTGATCCTAACGCCGCGGGTTTGAATCCCACTGTGGCACGAAGAGAACAGTCCTTTGGATGAGACTGTCGCAGTAGGTGCTGGCGCGCAAAAGATCCCGGTCCCTGTTCAATGACCCTGAGTGTTGATTGTAGGTCACAGTTTGCAGCTCTCCACCGGCGAGTGCTGGCGTCTCTATATGAGAGGAATGTTAAACAACCATGAAACCATTGGTGTAGGTAGTAAATTGGAAGTAGACGGGGGCTAATAAACAGAGAAAAAAAATTAAAACCTGAAAAAAACTTGACAAATAAACACAACATACTAGGGAAAACTTGACAATTGATCAAACCTGGGGGGGGGGGGGTACTTTCGAACTCTCGTCAGTACCAATTTTTTTCCAAACATTACCACTTATCCTCTTTGACTACACTGTAACGTTCCTGTTGAAAGGGGGGGGGGGGGGCTACACCTAAGCCCCAATCTTCAATGCCTGAATTACTGAGTATGTCTATCTTTGCAAAAATGTCAAGTGAAAGTGGGGGAGACGGCTAAGACCCCTTAGTCTCCCCGGTTCCGACGCCTTTGAAAACGTTGGTTTTCTCTAACTACATGTATATACGTATATTTTTATGAGCAGCATATTGTCTTTGTCTTCTCAAATGTTGCATCACGACGAAAGTCTGAGAATGGAATCTCTATGTGCACCCCCGCTTGAAAACTGAGAGGGTATATAGTGATCGGGATGTAGTATAGGTCTGTCCGTCTGTCTGTACGTCCTCAGGTCTATCTTTTTTCTGCAACTCCTCCTATAACACTGAATAAAAATTAATTAGAATTTCTCAGATTCTTTTTAACTAACATAATGCCATTGTGTCCTCTTATTTACTTTTTGATCTGACACTTATTTTGGGTCTCCTAGAGGAAAACATGGATTTTGCCGATTATTAAAATCAAATTATGCAAATGGAAGGCTCATTATTTAGTGAGCTCTGTGTTTACAGTGCCTCTAGTTCTACCTATTTTAATACTTGCATTTTGCTTTCATTTATTTCTACCTAAAAAATTTTTGTGTCAATATAAGATTTATGGCATATTAAAAAAAGTCTATCGTTGGTTTCTTTTATGTTAATTAATGACACCAGATTAATTGGCTTTTTTCGATGGAAGGGGTTGTCTCGTTGTATGTAAACATGATTTAGAGAAAAAGTTGGAAATCAGCAATAAGGAGATTACTTTGGCATTGTCAGTTTTATGAATGACTTTATCATTTCTACATATGAGAATTTTTGTCGTTTGTTAGATGGTTTTATGGACTTCCATCAAATCATTCATCAGCAAATGCTAACGAAGGACAGAATAGTCAGGCATACCGTCAGAAGACATAACAGTGGTTTTATGTGTCGGTTAACCCAGACACAATTCAGGATACAGTCGGGCCTTGTTAATCCGGAAATTTATTTGAGGTCAAAAAAATTGCCGTACTTTTATTTTGGAGTGAATCTCTACAAAGCTCAATATTACGTTACGCTACATGCAACTCCATATCTTATTCGTTGGGAAAGAAGTCCAGGAGAATGGGCGCTGTACAAAGTATCCATTAAGAGTGCAATTACTACCAAATATATACGTCCCCCCTCCCAAGAGAAGTATATGGAGGCATATAATGTCAAAAGTTTTGATTGATTGTTTAAAATCATATACGCTATATGAACGCCGAATATAGGTTGAAACAAAATGATCAACGATTTAAAACACATGAAGTATAATAAAAATAATACTTTCCACAAAATTGTACTATAGATGTCGTTGTAATAACAAAACAATTAAACAATACCTAGAAATTAAGAATTCAGTCTTTTCATGAATATTGATAAAGGAAGTGCGTAAACTGTAGGTCTATATATAGAAACACATGTCCACGGGAAATCACAGACAACGAGGTATGTTGCATTTTGACAACAATTATTAATGTAAGGTTAATATGCATCATAACAGAGAAGATTGTTGATACTTAAATACATTAAAAGGTAAAGTACCATTAAGTATCCACATCAAAAGTGAGTAGTATCTCAAACGGTCTACCTTGTTTTCTTTACGCCACGTGTGTTTATCAATCTAAAAGTAGCAAAGGCGTCACGTGATGGATTTATTTAAAAATAGCTGTTTTTCTTTCCTTGCAGGATAATAAATAATTATAATTTGATAACTTTGTAACGCGTTTAATTTTAATGGTGTAATTTACAGTATTTTCGTAACTTTTCTTGATAAACAAATTGTATCAATTTCCAATCCTATTTTAACTGGCGCAAGTTATAGCGTGTATACTTTTAAGGTCCCAGTCGACAATATTTCACTGCATGGACATAAAGAGACGTCAGCGTATGCCAAAGAGGGGCTTCAAATTACACCTATACTCGGCATTCAGGGCCATTAAGAAGTGAGCGTTCTATATCGTGCCAACGCCGACCGTGACACGGGACCAACATTTTTAAGGTCAAATCCAAAAGACCCGTGACTTTCACTTCTAGTGCTGAGCGCGTGTCAATTTTTTTTTAAAAAGAATCAGTCACTACCTGTGTTTATGCAAGAAGTTTTAAACGAGGGGCTAAATTTTATTGGTTTGAAATTGAAGCTGTGGTATTAATTTTCAGAGCTAGTGTTAAGTCTATCCATCTTTTTTTAGGGGGGCCGGGGGGGGGGGGGGTCCATATTACATGTGCTAAAAAATAAACGAAACATATAAGTGGGGCAGAGAAGGGGAGAAGTAAAAAAACAATGATCCTCTCTGTTTTCACAGCCATAGGGGAACTCTCCATTAAAAAAGAATTCTTGGTTCTTTTGGTTAGATATTCAATAAACACATCTTTGCTATTTTCAACAGGAAACATAAAAATAAACTCTATATTTTTTTTTAGAAATTTTAATGACATAGAAGTTAGAACACATTTAAATATGAATCATTATACAATCTGTATGTCATACGGCCGTTTCTTCTCTCCGATTCGGTTTTTGCCGTCATATTTGATTCCAGGTTTAAATTCTCCCTCGATGACCTCCTCTTCTCCAATTTTAATGCCAGACTCTTCCAAAGCATTCAGCACTGCTTTAACCTACAATAATAATGATTATTTACTGACAGATCTAAAACTTACAATGTAAGCCTTTACCTAAAATGAGGATAACCGGTAATTACTTATACATGGGAAATTTACATTGAAACTGAGAACCTATATTTTTAAAATTATTCTTTTTTAAAAATATTTTTTATGCATTTCAAAGAGAATCATTCAAGAACCTGTAACTATTTTTGAAATCAGTGGTTTATTCACATTAGTATCACTCAACTAGATCTATAAGAGCATACATTGATACTACCAATAAATATTTCAGCTGGATATTTCTAAAAAAAATAAGAAGTCAGCTTTTAGCTATGAAAATAACTCCAACCAAACTTTCATGCCTGAACGTACCTTATCCCCTCCATGACCTTCTGAGACTGGGTCATAATACACGTTGACAATGCCGGCTTTCTGACAGCGATCGGCAAACACACGACCGGTATTGACAGCCGCTGACACATCTCTGGCACTACATAACACAAAATCAAGATCTGTCTATTACATACAGTCTAAATATAGCTTCTACTAGATCAGCTGTTTTAATCAAAATATATTCATTGTGATTTAAATATTTCCCACAATTCCTTCACAGCTTTTATTGTAAACATTTGAGAGTAATAAATTCAGTTTATTTGATTAACTGATGATATTCATTAGGATAAACCTTAATTTTATCAAATTTTCAATGAACGGCATCAAATTAATCAACAGTACATGTACCTGTATAAGAACTGCCTTATCGCCCACTCTGATGATGAAGCGTAGATGACCTTCCTCCCTGAGGAATGTTCTAGGTAAACCTCTACTTTGCTGGAGGTAGGATTAATATGGAGTCTACAAATATGTAATTTCCTCAATTTTATTTCAGAAATGGTCATTACAGGTAACTATATTACACAGGCCCAAAGACTCCAAATTAAAAGCCTTGCACATACATGTATATAGTAGTATTTTCTTTTTTTTCTTTATTATACATTGTATTGACAAAATTTTAATTTTCTCTTACTAGGTACCCATTAGGTAAATTTTAAGACTGTCCATTACAGTAAACAGTTAAAGATATACTAACTTGTAATAAAAGTTTCGGGAAGGTGTTTGAAATCTCCATCCTTTTCTTCTTGGAGAAACATTCATATACTCAAGGCATCTGAAGGAAAAAGTATATAAATTACTGAATTTGTAAATGTTAAAAAATTAAAAATCAAGATTCCAAATGCAGTCTTTCTAGGTTAATCCCACTCTAATGTTATATATTATACATTATTGCAAATCCCTTCCTGAATTTAACCTCATTTCCGATGCATAAAAACAAATATTTAATTAAAAAAAGAATGGTTTTAAATATGTGTAATTAAAATAGTGTTTAACCAAAGTATTTAAAAGGGAACTA